CGCGTGATGAGAGTACAAATCTTGTCGCTGGTCACATTGGATGTCATGTGACTGGTCGGTCTACTCCCAACTTTACCAGTATTGGCAGGCCTAAGGATTATTGAACTGCGTTTCACCCATTCATCCTGTAAATCGTGTTGACACAGGTAAAATCAGTCCGTTCCAATGCAGTGACTTGTGTCCTTCACTAACTAGGACCGTACAGTTATAACGGCACATTTGAACTTTCCCATCTGGCGATGTTCATGGATTCGTTGGAACAAACACCTGACTATGAGGCCTACGTACGTTGTTTCACAGGACCACGTAACTGAGTACGCACAAAATGAGCCGGCATAATCCAACATTTCGTCCTTTGGTCGTAAACACATAATTGGCTGGGACATGGACAACATATTGAGCTTTGCTGCTTAGATGGTCTAAGTAGCAGCATCGAAAATCTTTGTACTGACTCTGCGGATGTATCCTCCCTTGAACGGCAAGGCAATATGTGCTGACTTCTTTCTGACCTCGGTCTTTTTCACAGTATCTTCACCGCACTGTATCATCCATATAGCCAAAGTGTGTTAAGATAGTGCGTTAGCACCGGAGCTCTTTATCTGTTGTATCCCCACTATAAATCTTCCATGCTCTATCTGCTAGACAGCGCACTAAATTTCTCTTCGCTTTGAGTGGTACAAAACTGCGAAAATGGATGTATTGGTCGTTCCAAGTCACCTTCCTATTGATCTTATCTGTGCACTGATCCATCCGATCTATGATTCAGACAGCCGTCCTGGGATGGCAGTTTTTTGTCATTTTGTATTTACTAATTTAATCGTATGTTCTGGTGAGCAGCTTTGAACTTGCTCGTTTGTTCCTGATTTCGTGTTGATCACTCACAGAATATCACCCACATATCGTGTGCATAGCGCACAATCCTGTCTAGAAGATTTTAGTCTTTTTTCTGGTTTCGCCTTGAACACAGCAAACAACGGTCGTAGTGGTAATCCCGTGGCTAGACCATCCTTTTGTCGATAAATCTGCTTGTTGAACCTAACTTGGACGTTTTATGTTCAAAAAGAAAGACAGTCTTCCAAAGGAAGACCTATCTCAACATTGTTACTTTGTACATAACCTATGATGTTAGTTTCCCCTTTCCAAAACAATTGCTTGGCTTTTATAGTTGAATGCTGATACATAAGTATAGTGATATTTATTGTGATGTATTGGTATAACTATGTATCACTCAAAATAGGATTGTTCGCCAGTCTTTGTGCTATTTGAAATGACTTGGGCATATTTCCCATGATCTAGCACTTAATTCTCTGCTTACTAATTCCGTGTATATTCTACTTTAAATGAACTATTGATGCTCTCTTTATTTTTCTCTACCAGGGAGCTAACAATTCAGGGGTACCGGATCCCATCCCAACATCACCAGATGCTGTTTTCCTCCGACCGGCTGAACCATCGCCCCGTTCCGAGCGGTCGCAAACAAATAGTATTCCTGGGGCTCATTGGGCTAAGGAGCTAATTGGACGCATCCGATCCAATTCTATTCATCATCCATCTGTACATCATTATCTCCATTTTCATCACTCCATTGAAGATTCCGAACCAAACCATCATCTCCACAACCTTTATCAGCACGCTCAACACCCGCGGCGCCAGCGGCGGCACTCAGCACCACGGGATGCTGAGCCAGCAATACTTGACCCCGAAACCATTGACCCGCGTCGTCTACCAAAAACCCACGGACCAACCAGTGCCTGTTTGCAATTTTCCAAAAAGCCGTTACAGCACATCACTAGCAATTCGTCCACATCGACCCCAATCCCAGTCAACATGTCTCCGGTACATTTTTACTCAGGTGTGACCAGTGCGACAGGTTCGTCTGCACTGAAATCCTCGTCATGGCGTCCACGTAAACATGTTGGGCGAGTGCGTTGGGTTAGTTTCATTGAGTAATAGCCATGGTGGTTGCATTTTGCGTTGACTGATAAAAATGGCTTTTATTCAGTTGAACCGTATGCCTGACGGTCTAGCGTTTCACCGTCCTCTTTGTTTCACACAACTCCGGTAGGCGATTAAGTCAGCTTCAGGGAGTGGTATTTTCCAATTCTACAACTTATCACAATTTAGCAGTACGTTTACTGCTCTACATATATGGTGGGGAAGAGAAATTCTTGTTTCTTCTACTCGTATTGAAAGACGGTTAGGTCACCGAGCTCGTGTCGCGTTTCTTCCTCTCCAATTTGTCCGTAATGGTCCTCTAGATCCGGCCAGTTAAGCCCAAGTAGGCCGGTTTCCACTACCAAAGCAGGTGTAGTTAATGTAGTTAAATCAGGGGTTTCAGCCAACTCCATTCGGTTAACCGTCCGCGTTTCACTGACCCGGCTTTAGTCCCGGATGTTGGTTTTTCGTTCTCTCGCCTTGGTGGGACAATGCCACCGCATGAGGGCAGTGAGTAGGGCTTCCACAACAGATTCTTTTCGAGGCACTTGATCATTTAGAGGCATTTCACGATTTACAAGGGAAGGGTGACCANATCACACTTAGTACAGAACATACTAAAACTTTCGAAGTTATTTTTATTCATTTACAGAGCTGTTCACTAGGTATTCATTGTCCCGTTTTTTTTTAAAATGATAGGTGGTGATTATTTCATCCATGGAGGCAATTGGGCACTGTGTAAATAGTTGTATATGATTTTGCATTATACCATACCGGTGTTTTTCTCACACACACATTGCTGCTTCTCATATCTTTTTTTCCGGTTTCCCTGGCTGACTGGTGTGTTTCACTGATGCGTTACAGGTCAGCCAACGCACTGAAGATGAAGTATGTAGGTTTGGCTCGGATAGCCTTTTCGGTAAGTCACTCGTTTGCATGCTTCACGTTTTCCATAACATGTTTCCCTTAGATTCTGTTGGTGTTAACTGATTCAAGTTGTTTCGATTTGGTAATCTCAGTGCATTAATGTACACATGGCTTCACCTAATTTTCAAGTCCGATTGTGTATGATTTGCACGACTGATTTGCATGAATGTGATTGCTAAAGTTGTTTGATTAGCTCACTCCAACGGTTTATGGTTTTTCCAACTGCGTATTTAGTTTTGTTTTCACGGTGGTTAACTAGAAATACATTTACTGGATTGTACTGAACAAAAGGCACAATCAGCGGAACGATTTGCACTTAAATGAGAGTAGTGCATGAATCACGTAGTTTGATACTTTTTCTCCGACACGATTTTCTTGTGTCTGATCGGTTCAGACTCGGTTTTTATCTGTTTCTACCTCACATTTCATGTTGTAGTGGACTGGAACATATGCATCCGACCAACCGGTGTACTGATATTGATCCCACAAAAAGCATCAGTTTTGGAGCTATCGTTTTATGTAAGCCTCTACCAACGCACCATCGTTAGCAATGACCTATAGTGACCCACTCATTTGCAGGCAATGTGATGAGTCACTTGGAAAAATACAACGTGTTATCCCCTGCTTAACACGGGTTTTGTCACAGGCGATCGTGTACCACTGACTTGCTTCTGGCCCGAGAAGAGTGGACAAAAGCAACTGATCACGGTGATGCGGTGCACGTCGTGTACCTCGACTTCTCCAAAGCATTCGTCCGAGTAAACCAAAAAAAGTACTGAAGAAACTACACAACTATGGATTTCGGGGACTTGTGGTGGACTGAGTAGAAAAATTTCTGCGACAACGCACTATGGTAGTTCGTGTTTCTGGATCACTCTCTGATTCCATCAGCGTATCACGACGAGTTCCACAGGGATCCGTGCTTGGCCCTCAACTTTTCCTTCTTTTTATGAACTACCTAACGGGTAGTCTGGGACCACAAACGGTAATGTTTACAAATGATACACAAATATGGAAAGGGGGGGGGACAAAACCAGAGGACTCGCTGGCACTTCAGAGAATACTTAATACTGCCTATATATATTTCACACACGTTTGATACCAGACTGTGTGCCAAACAAATCGTGGTACAATAATCTTTATGAACAGAAAAGCGTTGTACGATTTGCAAGTGGGCCGAATACTGCCAGGTTGTCCAGGCCAAGGCAGGTTAATTCTTTTGGGGAATCCACAGCCGGAGCCAAAGCCTGACCTGCCAGGCAGCTGGGCGGTGTGCAAAAACCGCAATCCATTGGGAGCCGGTGTTCAGTTGATCGGATCATACGCCTTTCAGACGGGGTCAAGCGTCCCAGATGCCCAATACACCTCAATGCCCAGTCGAGCCGGTGACCATTGCCACAACCGGAAAGGTGTGGGTGTGGTTCGTACGCCTCCTCTTGGATGGTTTGGAATCAGGGTTTTCGGTCAACTCCCCTAGTTGAACTGCCCGTGGCTCACTAACCCGGTTATAGCCCCAGATGTCGGCTGCCTATCAATGGTCGATCGGAAACGACATGGAATTTAATGCATCAAAATGAATGGTCGTATTCCTTCACCACAAAACTCGGTTTCCCTACTTCCTGGGAGATCAACAACTTCCGTATGTCCAAGAAGACCTAAGTTGTTCTTTTAAACTGCTCACGGGCGTTGTCCACCGCTGTAAGACGTGTTGGTTTGCTAAAGCGAGTATTTTGAAAATTTGAACGTACGCTGTTTCCACGATAGTTATCAGCATATATTGGGCCCCGCATGGAGTATGCTATTCAAGCGTGGAATCCATGGCTACGACTCGACCGGAAGCTTCTGGAACGTCCACGAAGAATGGTCACTAAAAATGGTCAAGGGACTGCATTCCCAGAGACGCAGAAAGACTGGAATCACTGCAACTCTACTCCACACAATATCGCCTCATTCGAGGGGACTTGATCTTGCTGTCAAATAATGCAGGACCCAACTGACCCATGTCGTTCATTCTTTGCCTTGTCGCCCAACACTCACCTGAGGGGGCACTCATTCAAATTAGTGCTCCGAAAATGCCGACTAGAATGCCGGCGTCATTCATTCGCCCTCAGAGTGTGCACTACTTAGAATTCTCTACCACCACACGTTGTTTCTGCTCCCACAGTTGAATACTTTGAGCACAAATTGGACAAAGCTTTGACAAGTCTTAAATTCCAACATCCGTAGCAGTGCACGAAACAAGGATAAATTGTGACATTCGTCTACTTTCTATGAATAGTGAATCGATTCATCTGTGCTTAACTCTATAGTACTAGAAAAGCAACCCCTTGTAGGTATTTTCCATTATAAAACTTTAACTTTGAAGGGATCAGGAACGAAACCAGTCCAGCATTTATGAACTTCATGTGGATGCCAAAGATGAAATAAGCCGATGATGGTACAACTGTCGAGAACCTAGTTTCCGCTGTTCCTTTCCGTTGGAACTGCCTACGTTTTTGAAGAAATATGTCTTACACTGTAGATTTCATTACGCTGTTTAAGGTTTCTTACTCCGCAGCTGCATTGTTTTGCAAAGGATAATTGAAATGTTGAAATCATAGGTGAACTTAAACATCAATATACAGACTGATTCTGCCTCCATTTTTCGCATGTTTCGGAGCGGTTAAAGAGCACTACACTAGACGAAGTTCCACATTACTGCACTGGTGGCGTCTTGTTCAAGCATAAAATGCTATTTCTAACCCTGTTTTTGCTCCAATCATGATTGTAGTTAGAATTTTTAGAATTTTTTGCAGTGCCGTACACGAGACAATTTTTCTTACACACACAGGATTACCGTTATTCATGAGTGTTTGCATCCTCGTTGTTTTCACGTCCAGGTAGCTCCGACCAATCGCAGTTGAGTTGCTCTGCTATTGAAGAGTTGCGTGGCGCTGTTGATATTCTTGCCGGTAGGTGTTTTTTGTGTGCTTCCTCAATCACAGTTTATTCGGTCCCCTCTTCCGTTGCTCGTCGTCAAGTCATCTATTTTTTTTTAATCAAATTCTAAGAAGTGGTGCGTTTTTAATTTCCAATACGGAGTATTTTCAGTATGCCTAACCCTTGCAGTTGCATGTACACATAATAGGGTATATGAAATAGAGTGGTTCATTTCGGATTACTTCGCCAATTCGAATCAGATCGTTATTTTTGGCACACAAGTATTCGCAATTGTGCAATGATATCCATACTCTACTTGATCGGTTTTCGCCACCCACAGCTTAGGTTCCGCTTAATGTATGTCAAACATTCCCGCTTTCACTAGTTGGTTATGCTCATGACAAACGAGACTCGACGGATGATGGCCAATCCTGAATGTGATGAGCAGCACAGGTGGTAGATCTCATGTCTACCAGAACCTGTCATTCCTGTCACGGATAAGATTCTAGTAATGCAGCTATCGACTTGTCTTAGCTGTCCTTAGAGCGTTTTGGTTCAGAAGTTCTGAATTTCGAATCTCAACACCGGTAGTTCACATTGTATGTATGTGTTCGTGCACATGTTTCTTTAATAGCTCTGGGCACTTCATAGACCATCTTTTTGCCACACATTCAACCCGCATTTCTCAGTTTAAATTGCCGAATATCAGCGATAAACAGTGAACCCTTCGATTATTGTATGGCATAGTTCGCATCGAGCCCTACTCTATCTATCACTTGGAATAACTTCTTTGCACACTAAATCATTTCCCGTTTGCGCCATGCGCACACCGTATTTCATAAGGTTACTTTGCGACGGACGGTAGCAACCTCTTTGT